ATGTATGTTTATATGATTTATATGATTTTATATGCATGTATATATGTATGCATTGTCTCTCGTGCTTTGTTTTTGCATTTTTGCGAGCAGCAAAGATCGAGTATTGTGGCTCTGTGAGCATCATGGTGCAGGTCATTCTTTGTCACTGTCCGTGCATTGCCATGGATGTGAAGTTTCTGGTTGTTTGCTGGCAGCAGGAAATTGCCTCCAGCTACGATGTAGTGGACGGACCAAACGACGAAGGCGGCATCGCTCATGGATCCGGAAGGCTGATAGCCAAGAAGTTCAGCATGTTCAGCTTTTGCTGCCAGGCGAGATGTTCACTCGGCCGGGTATCCTTGTGGATGCCTTTCCATCGCCTTATCCAAACGAGGAGGTCGGTCTCGGTGGGATTTCGGCGAAAGTGCTGTGTCAGAAGCAGGCTGCTCGCTATGCGAATGGCGGCGCAAACCCGCCTTGACCACAGCTGAAGTTTCTCGAAACAGCAGGGGGATGAAACCTTCCATCACAGGCCAGATCTCAGCGTGTATACGACCGCCAAACATGAAGGCCGGTGCTGCTGTGATCCCTACCAGATGTCTCGGACGCCCAGTCTCCCTGGTACACAGGCTTGGATTACATTTTCGCCTTGCTATTGGGTTACAGGGCGCTGGCCTTGGTCGCATGCCTTTCGAGACGCGGAGGATCACGGAGGTGGGATTGTCTGTGGTTGTGCAAACCCGATGGTTCCAGCAAGGACCCTCCTGCTGGCATTGAAGTGCGCGATGGGCTGTACTACAATGTGCAGCGTGTCTGAACCCTCCGAATCTTACTGACATCGACAATTCTTTATTCATGTGGGCGTCCATGACGTGCTCTCAAGATCTGTACCAAATCAAAGCTTCTGTCTTTCATGTTGGGATCCGAGGTACTTCCCCGGAGGCCGACAGATGATTGCTCGATTGATTTAGTGTATTTACTGTATTCCTATTCCAAGTTCTGGGGCCGAAGGGATCCTCAGGCCCTAAGCTTTAGCAGCGTGAAGGTGCGTGCAGGATCTTTGTTGCCGAAGCACCGAGGATTTGTGGGTGTTGAATGGTTTGATAGTGGCTTTTATTATACCTCGCCAATTGAGCATTGTCGAAGCACAAAGTGACACGGGTGTTGATGAGCATGTCGCGATGCATGCTTGTTGCGTGCGCTTGCAGTGACCCTTGCAGCGACATCGCATGACAGGCCTAATCGGAATGCCCAGCCCCCTGCACTCGGATGGCCTGGTCGATTTCGAGGCTGACAGATGCAGATGGCATGCAGCGCTTTTTCGATGTTTTCGATGTGCAATGCTTGGAGGACGGCACCCCATGCACGAAGTCGCAAATGGCTAAGGATGTGCCGGCCATGGTTTCGCATCACCACGTGTCCCCGAATGTTGTAACCGTGAAGGAGGTTCCGGAGGGAACACCTGACGACATGATCTACTCATATGAGCATTTAGGCAATTTAGGCACAGGGAAAAGACTCAAGCTACGTACCGATGCATATTGCAAACAAGGAGCCGAGGAATGAGCGAAAGGGATGCATTGCCCCATGCATGGCAGAACGTCAACATCGGTCATGGAGACAATTAAGTAGACGCAGAGTTCCTTAGGACCGTCTTGTTAGCGTTTCCTTTCGTGCGCGTTGTAGATAATCATTGAGGAGAGGCTTGCAAGTTCGAGTCCGAGTCGTACAAGAGCTTCTTCTGAACCAGGTTGGGTCAAAGCGGGGGAGGAGCCGGCTTGGGAGGAGCAGCGGGCAGGTGCATGCAGTATGCAGCGCAGACTTGCAGACGGGCGTTGACTAGGGCGGTCATAGGTGGTCAGATGCAAGCCTGGCACGTAGGCTTCGCGGAGCGTTACACGTTTCAGACGTGGGGCATGAGCGATCTGGTTTTAAGGTTTGGATTAGCGCTTTAAGGTTTGGGATATTGGGCTTAGGGTTTAGGTTTGGGGCTCAGGGTTTAGGGTTTTGGGATTTAGGGTTTATAGGGCTTTGGGCATCAGCGATCTCAGGGTTCAGGGTTTGGGATTGAGGGTTTAGGGTTGGGCGTTTTTGGGGTTCGGGCTTCGGGTTTAGGTTTGGCTTAGTCTTTAGTAATTTAGGGCTTCGGGTTTAGGGTTTGGGGCTCAAAGTTTAGGGTTTGGTGTCGAGGTTTTAGGGTTGGGTTCTATGGGATTAGGGCTTTGTGGTTCAGGTTTGGGGTGCAAGGTTTAGGGTTTGGGGTGAAGGTTTCAGGGATAGGGTCAGCGTTTTACGGTTTAGGTTTGGGATAGGGCTTAGCGTTTGGGGTTTTGGGTTTTGGGTTCGCTCAGCCGGCACGGACAGCAAGCGTTGAAGCAAGCTTAGGGTTGAGAGCACCCTCCCCCGGCATGAGGCGCAGATGGACGAGATCCATCTTTTCATCACTTTGCATGAGACCTAAAAGGTCCATCGCATCCCCCCAAGGAGTTTCTCGGCAAAGCGAGCGAAACCCAGCATTCAAGCTGTGTGCTTCGGATGCTGGCTGAGGGGTGAAGGACCTGTGGAGAGCACAGAAAGACGGTGCACATGTGAAGTTGCCGAAAACCCTCAAATCACAGCCCTCGCGTGGCCGGACCTGAAACGCACCCGGGCGTGGCCGAAACTCCCCTGTGGAGAGGCTGAAACACATCCATGCGGATCGCTGAAATGCAGCTTCCCGGAACCGAAACGGCGGACCCGAAACGGCTTCCACCAGGCTTCGTGAACATTCGTGAGAACCCACGGTGTCAAGAAGCGGTGAGGCAGGCAGGAGAAACACCAGCACCTCCACACGATTCACAACGTGAGATGCCCTGCGCCTGTCCCTTCCGTGAGCCTTTCCGCGCAGCGTCATA